TGCAATGGACTGGCAGAAAATATTTGGAATTCATTTTTAGTTGTCTTCATGGCCTCCAATGACTTTTATTTCAGTTGAAACCAATGAAGCCAACATTTCCATAATAGCAATCAGGTAGCAAGTAATGTTTAACCTTAACTTGTAAGTCCAGTAAACACCTTTGGAAGAGAATGCCAGTGCCTGCCAACAAGTTGGCTGTATCTACATGTTCTCTCATAAAACCGAGGAGGTCATCTATTCTGAAGTCAAAGTCTATCAAACCAGTCACCACTGAAATCCAGCCCTTGCAGCATTACTCAACAGGAAAAGGGTGAGTTATAGAGTACAGCAACAACTTCCTCCATAGCTCCTGCTCAGTAAGAATCTTCAGAAGTTACTGCTTTTGGGAAAAAAATTAGTTTTGGATCATGTTTATGAAGGAAAAAAATGCCCTTGGTTTAAGTGAGGACAGACACTCATCTGGCAAATCAGTGAAGAGGGTTGAGCAGCACTGTACTCCAGGTCTTGGTTGGACTGTCATTACCAACTTCATTGTCAATTCTGAAGATCGTTTAAGTCCGGAGTACTGGTGGGAAATCCACAGAACAGTCTATCTCTTAGTTCCTGCATTTTATAACAATACTACTTCCTCATTTCCATCCCTGTCTGTTAGGATATAGCTGCTCTAAGAAATCCAAGATTTTTCTAGAAAAATCTCAAGTTTAAATATCAACCTGATAGGACATTGCATGGTGTAAAGATGTACAATTAACACTCCAACTTGCTCTTTCTGTGGGACTCACCTATTTTTGGTTTCGAAGGGCAGTTTAATATAAATAGACAAACAACGAGGAAAAATCTTAACTATGAGATTTTGTACTACCCATTGACTCTTATTTGCCATTTTAAAAACACATTTAAGATTTTTTGAGTGATTTCTTAGGAATTTAATATTCTTGGGCCTCCCTGGTGGTGCAAGGGGTTTAGACACAACACTACGAAGCTACATGCAGTCACTGCAACACACAGTTTGATCCCGGACCAGCCAGGGAGGTGACCCCCATGGCACAGCAGAGCTCTCCTGACTTGCCCGCTGCTCCCCTCGGCAGTGTACTTCGATCAGTCTGCCTGTTCTGTTCCCCACTCTGTCTCTGGTTTCCCACTGTCTCTCACCCACCACACCTCTGGTCTGTACCCCAGCTCTTGTGAGTATAAATAAATAAATCTTTTAAAAAAAGAAATTTAGCATACTTCAGTGTATCCAAATTAGATTAATTAAATCAATGCTATGAATATAAGGTCTGGAGTTTAGCAAGAACTAATATTTTATCTAGGGACAGGCATTACCTAGGACTGAAAATAAGGGATTTTTTCTTTTGCGTCATTATAAGCTAGGACCAGGCTCTGTAGAATGACAAAACCTATTTTGTGTAGGCATAAGACAAAAGCTAGCTAATCAATATCCTTCACTACTGCCTCAGTATCATACAATTATATAGGCCTTAACAATTGTGGAATGGATCCATAACCATTTCTTCGCTTTCTGCTAGATAAAACATGTAAGTTTTTTAAAAAATTATCATTATGTCATTCAACGTATGATGGCATTTAAAATCCTTAGGGTTGCTAAGGTATAATGGACATCACATTATATTAGTTTCAGGTGTAAAACATTATTAAATATTTGTATACAACATGAAGAGATCACTGTAAGTCTACTTACCATCCATCACCATAGTTAGAAACTTTTTTTTCTTATGATGAGGACTTTCAAAATTTACTCTTAGCAACTTCCAAATATGCAACAATATTGACATAGTCATCATGCTTTATAGTTACATCTCCAAGACATTTATTTTGTAACAGCAAGTTTATACCTTTAACCACCTATATCACCCACATTGTACCCTTCTCTCTGGCAACCACCAAGCTGTTCTCTCTTATCTATGAGCTTAATTTAGGAAATCAACATCTTGATTAACTTAAAAGAATACACAAAAAACTCACAAAACATATAACAGACTTGTATTTTAGGAAAAATTATTGATTATTGATATTATTGATAATTATTGATAGGTAATATATGGGCTTGATCTTGCAATATGTTTCCAAATATTCATTTGCAAGAAACTTCAGAATATTGTATATTCATTTATAGATTACAACCTGATGGGTTTCTAAGGAGGAGTGTGGTTTAATAGAAAAGTATGAGATGCAGTGTATGAAGACCTCTCCTTGAATCCTGGCTTAGCTGCCTGTGAGCCGTGTGATATTAGGCAAGCACTTCTCTGAAGGACTGCTTCTTCATAAGTCAGACCAAAATAAACAGTCTGTAAGGAATAAATGAATGTAATCTGATCTATATAAACTTTCCTCAACTTTAAACTGCATCTAACAATGCATAATCTAAATAAAGTTCTAAATCTAAGCTCAAAGACCTTTGGAAGGATGTTTTCTCAATTAACTAAATTCAGACCCATGATTGCCCCCTAATGGTCACCTCTTAGAAATGAAGCCCCTTTGGAAAATAACTGAATTTGCAATTTTTTTTGATCATAAGTTCCCCCCAAAGCTTATCCTTATCTCTAGAATGTATAGTAGCCTTTTCTCTTAGATAGTACATTATCTAAAGTCTAAATACATTCATTTAAATTGAACATAGATTCATTATTTATCTTTGAAACTAATTCTACAAGCAAATTAAAAGTCTTTTCAGGTTTTTAAGATACCACTTTCTTTAAAATGTCTCTTCCTGCCTCAACACTGTAAATCAAAAAGAAAAAGAACAAAAGAAAAAGATAAAGGGCTTCTTTTTAAGTCTTTGTCGCATCTTAAAGATATAGATATATTTTGTCTTCCAGGTGTCAACGATGGAGATTCAAGAGCTCCGGTTCTTCCTCCTAAAGGATTGTCACTATCATCACAGGTAGTTTCACTTGCCACATACTTATCCAATTCTGCATTCTTGGGGTGATTTGTAGAAAATGATTATTTAAAGTCTTCCCAATCAAAAGTTAGTTTTATCCCAAATCTACATATCAAAATGTGAATTCACTGTCCCTACAAAACCCCACAGAAATGTACACTAAGGCCACATAGGGCCTGGCATATGGATGGCACTAGTAATTTTAGAAATCTGATCTCTATCTGAATTTTAAATATACCAGCACTTCCTTTTAATTGTCTGCAAGCCTTAATCTCAATATCTACAATATAGGGATATGACCATCTACTTTGTTGGGGTTTTGGAAGGCCGAATGAGATAATACATGAGAAACACTTAGCATAATCATTGATATACAGAAGGCATCAAAAGATGATTGATGTTATCAATTATCTTTCCAGTCAAAAGAAGCCAGTTCTTGAGGGAAGTACTATATTGCAACTCACAGGCATGGACATGCCCCCATGGTCATTTTCTACCTAGGTTTCTTTCTGAGACCACACCTCAGTAATTTTCAATGTGTTCTCCATAGGCTTGAGAGACCCTGCTGGTGGTATTTGTATGGGTGAAATGGGATCTGCTAAGACAATAAAGTTGAGAACTGTCTAGAGTGGAGATACGCAGCAAAGGAAATGTTTTCTAAGTTCAACTAACATGGTGACTAAAAAAAGGGAAGTTAAATGCAAGCACTAGCCACACATTGGTTTGTCAGGTCTATTACACCCTCTAGTGGCCACAAAAAATACTGTTCTTTTAAAATTCTGGTTTGGCCAAGAAAGCACGTAGGAGCGTATATAGCACCCTTGAGTTTAAAAAATAATCAGTTTGTATTTGTCTTTTCTGCTTATGTAAAACAAAACAAAATGCTAAGCTTAGGAACTCTTAACATTAGGGCCTCCCTGGTGGCGCAAGGGGTTAAGCACCGCAATATGAAGCAATTCGCAGCCTCTGCAGCATGAGTTTGATCCCCGCCCTGCCAGGCAGCAACCCACATGGCACAGCAGACCTCTCCTGTCTGGCCCGCTGCTCCCCTCAGCAGTGTATTTCAGGCAGTCTGCCTGTTCTGCTCCCCATTCTGTCTCTGGTGAATCCTCTCACCTCCCCTATCTCTGGCCCGTACCCCGGCTCTTGTAGGCATAAATAAATAAATCTTAAAAAAAACCCATAACTCTTAACATTAAATTGTTGTCACAATTTGATCCACTCACTTCTCTTTATTCCCCGCTGAATGGAAATACTCATTAGAGGAAAGGCACAGGCAATACCACCGTTCATGCTACATGGTTCTCAAGTTGAGCACTGGAGAGAATGATCTTTGTTACTTTATGGAAGAGAATTTTGAAATGAGCATCTTTCTAAAACAGCAATTTTTTCACCACAGGGTTATTCACAAACCAACATAATAATTAAATATCACCAAGACTATGAATCTATTCTCCTCTGCCTTAACCCTTCATTTTTATAATGGGTAATTATAGTAAAAACTTCAATTAACCAGAACCCTCAATTAACATGATTTCCCCTCTTGCACTCTATTTTTAGGACAAACCGGGAAAAAAAATCATAAGATATCACTCATGTGAGGGATTTAGTTTGAAAATCTTCTAAGGATGGATTAACTAAGTAGAAAAAAAATCTGGAATAAAATTATAGTCACACCAAGATAGTCAATATGTAGGAAATATAACTGAACAAGATATTGGGGGAATCGAATTCTTTCTGAATGCTAATGTGGTAGAACTGTACCTATTTTCCAATCTTTCTGCTACTTATTGTTACACTGTTACATAAATAAAAATCAAAGAAGGGTGGTGTATAAACCCTGCACATACTCTGCAATGTTTTCTGTTCTACATAAACAGATATGAATAGTAAAAAAACAAACCTGTTTGGGAATTATTTTCTCCAATATCAGCTGAAAAATACTTTCAATTAATTTGAAAATTAACTTACCAGGTCATTCCTTATTCAGAAACAATTTGTTATTCAAAGCTTCACTGCAGCATCTCAACAGCCCGTAAAGGCTTCAGGCTAAATAACCACCCCTGAATTGAAAGCTCATGACACCAAAGCCATCTATTTAAAATACTGTTTATTTGTGATTTAACATTAATTTGCATTACATCTATGAGCAACATCAGATAACATTTATACATTTTCCACAGGACACAGAGGTTCATTGGCTCATTCTTTATGCCAAAGCAAGTAAAGAGAGGCATTAGCAAAAGGTGCAAATAGTTCACTGTTGCGTTTAAAAAATATTTATGCACATTGCATTCATTTAAGATATATATATATTTTTAAAAAATTATGGAAAAGCATAGTTCACAGGTTACTGTTTCCACATACGTTGTAATACAACATAAATGATGTAGAACACACACACAAAAAAATCCTCAAATACAGAATTAGGCAACTGAAAGTTTCCACCAAAAGATCAAAAACACTGATTCCAGTAGTTAGTGAGATCTAGAATGAAATTCCCAGGCTCTATTTCAACTTTGCATCATCATACACATACAGTTAAACAGAACCAGCTTCAGAATACACTGTAATCGATGTAATTTTTTACATGCCATCTCACCCTCTAGAAACACTTTGGATTATTTTTACCCACTGACCATTTTGGATCATTGATTTTACATTGATTTGTGACATCACTTGGATGAAGGGGGAATAAACTATATTAAGCCTAGGTTTCAATTTGTATTTACATTAGAAAGAAAGTTAACTGAAAGACAGGGAAAGATCGGTAAAGATCTAGAAGTGGTAGTTTTCTCACTGGGGGGATTAGAACAACTGATTTCTTCTAGTGCTGCCTTTTAAAGATACATAAGTTAAAGAGATTTGCCCCGTTTAAAAATCAAGCAAGAAATACAATGATTTTGACAGAAGCAGAATTTTAGAAATTTGGGACGTTTCTAATTACACTTCAAATCCTATTATGAATGAGTCATTATCAAACTAGAATTCTTCTTTTCATGACACCTCTTTTGCTCCCTTCATTTTTTTACTTTTTCTCTCATTCCTTTTCATTTGGTTATCTTATGAGAGTTTCTTCAGTTATCAGCAATACTAAGAGATTCAAATATGAATGTAAGATTCAAATATGAATCTAGTTACATCTTTAAATGCTTTAATCCCCTTTTGATACCAAGTCCCTGGATTTTTGAAATATATTTAAGTATACTTAGTACCAAGCAGCTTCAAATATGCTCTACTGTTAAGTGATTGGCTAATATGCGTATGACATTTTTATACTGAATGGTATATAAACATCTCAACATACAAAAATCGTTTTTGCCAGAGTTAAACTAAATAACCCATGTTATGTGTACAAAATCCCCTTTGTTGAAAAATAAGGGGCTTTCTAAAATAATAAAAAAGGAAGTTTTCAAAAATTATAGCTTACTAAAATGACCTTTTTTTTTTTTTTTGGCAAACAAAGTTATTACTTCAGGTGAGGAAATTTTATACTATGAAACAAAATTCCTAATGAATTTTTTCTTAAAATTTTTAAAAAAGTTATGTGCCAGTGTATACTAATGCTATAGATTCTTAGAAGCTTTTAAAGCATTCTGTTAATGCCCATTGAAACAATGGGAACCCAAAAGGTACAGTCAATAATCATGGTAAAAAATTATAATCTGATTACCAAGTGAAGCAGGTACTGAGAAATAAAAATTCTCTCACTTTTCACTGGTAATTTCTTTCTGACAGATACTACGGAAAGGCCTGAAGTAATCAGACAGATATCTGTGGTGAAGTATAAGTATACTTCATGAGGGCAGAGCTAATTAAAACTAGCAATTGTTTAAAAATTCAAAGCCATTTTGGACATATAAAATGAGAGATGAATTTGAAAGTTTTTTTCATAATGTTTTTCTTTTAGTAAAACCTCTTTCCAGTTCTTAAAGTCCAGTTTGCTACATACCCCCAATCTGATCTACCACTGCATATTAATAATCAAATTAAATGTGGTATTTAAATGTGCAACGTCACATTGTAAGAGTAATAATTATAAAAAGATTTAATTAGGCTTCAACTTTCTCCTTTTTTTTGTTTTTTTTCAGAAAAGAAGGCGTGCGGAACTTCTTCTTTTTCTTGGATGGTGATTTTGAAGGTGAGCCTTCAGGTGACAGGACTTCTTCAATTTTCTCTGGAGACTTAATGGTAATCTCGATGTTTTCTATGGTCGTGCTTGTAGTTAACCTACTCACTCGTTTGGCAAGGTCATCTTCAACCTCATGCATGTCATCCTTGCCATTCACTACCATGACAGGCACGTCCATGGAGATGAAGCTCTTGGAAAATAGCTCATGGTTGTCTACAAAAAGGGGAGGGTTGTTTTTGTCGTTATTTTCTAGAAGTAACATCTTTGCTTTATTTTACAAAGCCAAAATGTTTTTTGTAACATAGTAAAGCATTGCTTTAATTCCAATAAAGATAAATCATAATTTTAATAAGCTATGGACCTATTAGCATGATGCTAATTTTCTTAAACAATATAAAGGGAATGAAGCAAAGTTATTAGATCAGAGAGTAAAGGCTAGATAAGTCCCATTTGATGACCTGACAGTTTACTGTAAATCAAGTCAGTACAAATGAGGACGACAACATATATTTCTCTTTAATTTGAGGGTCATTTGGCAGTCAAGTTTGATAAAGCTTTCATGCTTCTAATTGGAAAACATCACAATTTTAATTTCACAAATTCTTAGGAACTCTGGGTTGCTAAAATCTAGATTAAAGTGGTAGTCAATATAAACAGTAAAAAGTATAAAATTATTAGGAGCTTTAAGTAAGATCCATGGAAAACTTATAAGAAGAGGTTCAATTTCCTTACAAGAAAACAAATGACAAGTCTGAAGACTAACTCAGTGAACGCAATGGGAAATTACGTTGAATACCTTCTAATTTTTCAGGGATATTTTGCGGTGACTGAGTTTGAGACTGAATTTGTGAAACAGATGAAGCGTCATCTGAGAATAATTCCTGCTCAGCATCTGTTGGATAAGAGTTTAGTTAAAAGCCATGCAAAACAAAGAAGTATAAGATTTCAGGAAATGTTAGTGCATTTATCAAATGCTTGTATATACAGGGAGGACAGACTCCTCAGCAATGAGCTGAGCATGCTCAGTTATTCCATAAGTTGGTGATTATTCATTAAAGGAGGTTAATGCGTTAAAATTACTGACTACTAATAGTAACTTGACCATAGTCTGACTGCGGAAGCACAGCTACTGGCAGCCCAGGGAAACAATACATATACATTTAGCTTTTGCCTGAGCGTTAGAAAGCCAAAATACATTGAGCAGCCAGATGAGAAAATTATAAGGCCTCACCAATGATATGCAGTAGTGAGGCAGGATGCTCACTGAATTTTTTAAAACAATACCCAATTAGTAATTCCTGTCAGAACAATATTAGCGAGCTAAAAGAATGCCTTAATGAATGTGGAAGAAACTATAAAGTTTTATATATATGTGTGCATATATAAAAGGTAGTGGCTCTAGAATGCAGTATTTGTTACCTGACATCTTTAGGCTTTAAAAAAATAAGAGATTAAAGACGGATATTTTACAAAATACAAAACAGAGTTTCCAACCTTATGTTAGAATAAACAAATTCAATAATACTATTTGGAACACTGAGTGTCACTACATTAACAAGTCAGGATATCTTCCTTTTGTGATATCGGCACAACACACAGATAAAAACTATTCCCTGGATAATCCAGATATCATTAGTTCTTCCTACATGATATCTAAACAAGGACAAAAATTCTTTAACCATGGGTTCTATTTTGCTTTGGTTAAAAATTTCAACTGTATGTTGTGAATGCTCTAAAGCAAATGCTATTATGCTCTTTTGGGGTCACAGACTTCTTGCCTATCACCCTAAATACCCTGAATACCCCCTGTGCACTCTATGTAGAATATAAAATTAACCATATATTTTTCAGATGTCTTACGGACTGTCTGAAATTTATCCAAAGACCCAACACAGAGAAACCCTGCTATGAAGAATTTCTTGTTCTTGAGAAAAATGGAGCTAGCATTCACTTAACTGGGGCATGTTTATTAGTGATTCTTAAATAAAATACTAATTTAGGGTTCTGAAATCAGAAAAAAAAAGGCAACCGTATTAGAGTGCTCACATACTTGAAAGTCACTTCAAAATTCTAGCAGTTTGTTTTATATTTTGATTTTGAAATCAGAGTATTGGCAGCATGAAATATCCAAGAAATTTTACAAAGCGTTAAAGCCATACACTTGTGAATCTATAGTTATTTCAAAGTAAAAAGCTTTTAAAAAGCCACATACTATGAACTGTTTTTATTCCTGTGTCAACATTTAATTCAGCTAGCAATTCCTTCTTCATCAGGGGATTTCACTTTACTATAGGCAATTTTTTCCTAGTAATCAGATGGCTTTCTGAGGAAAACAGTTTTCTCTACATGTTAAGATTCATGGTCTGTGGTAGCTCTTTGCCTTTGAGCTCCATCTATAATCAGTGAAGCACTGAGAGAGATGACATAGAACAATCAACTTTAATAGGAAAATTTAAAAAAATAACAACACTGACTGCCTTCCATTATCCAAGGTGCTCTGCTGTTGGCAGCGTGACTATCCTAGGCTTACTAAAAAATTATCCTAATTATCTAAAAATTAACTAACCTTCCAGTCCTTGCTGTTTACGTTCGATCATCCTCTTATACTCTTCAAGCTCTCCTTCTGTGAGATGACTGAAAGGATTGGGAGGAGCTGGAGGGGCATGATCGTCGTCTTCAAATTGCATGGTCTTGCAAAGAAAAACCCAGACTCATTACCAAGAGTTTTACCTCTGTCTACACACACATGCAAATATATACATCCACACACATATATAAATGTATATATGACGTTAGTGACACTCCACAACAACCATAACAAGAAATGATAAAGTAACACGCATGCTCTGTTTAAAATACAACAGATTCGGGGCCTCCCTGGTGGCATAAGGGGTTAAGCACCGCACTGTGAAGCAATCCGCAGCCTCTGCAGCACGAGTTCGATTTCCAGTCAGCCAGGGAGCAACCCACAAGGGGCAGCAGACCTCTCCTGACTCGCCCGCTGCTCCCTTCAGCAGTGTATTTTGTCAGTCTGCCTGCTCTGTTCCCTACTCTGTCTCTGGTGAATCCTCTCATCTCCTGCATCTCTGGCCTGTACCCCAGCTCTTGTATGCATAAATAAATAAATCTTTAAAAAAATAAATAAAATACAACAGATTCATTGTATAAAAATTGACAGTGATATTCTCTCAATAAGTCTATGTAGTTCAATATTAATAACTTAAAAAGATAAAACTAATAAGCTAAATTCTAATAATCTTCACATAACTATTTTTAAGACCAAGAATTTCTCCATTTCAAAAAGCTTTTGTAAAAAAGGCTTAGAAAAATGAAACCTTACCACAAGAACTTCTTTAATAGGCTATGAAAATAAACTTGTAAGTATTTATCATAGGAATGGAATTGGTGAGATTTTCACCTAAATTTGGCAGATTGAAACCATGCATTTAAAAAATCCCTCCCACAACCCCCAAAAAATGATAGTAAAGGATCAACAATAAAAATGGTATTAAAAATTGAGGGACAAATGAATGGGAGAGGAGACAGCAGAGAATGAGAAATGATAATACACATTTTTGGAAGACGGGAAGAAGGTGAAGAGATGGGATAGCAAAGTTTAGCAAGTTGATGCCTTAGCCCTGCAAAGAATGTTACAAATGAGAAGCATCTGCATTTTCCCTATAGAGGTCTGGTAGGGCTCAGAAACCAGAGGTATCAGATACCAAAAGGTGGTATTTAACATAAGCTGGAATGAGAGACAAATGCAAAGTGTAAGCCCCAAACAGCCAAAGCTCTCCTGACTAAAATGAGGAAGAATGGAGGTATTACACCCTCAGACTTAAACTATACTACAAAGCCATAATAATAAATACAGATAGTACTGGAACAAAACAGACACATAGGCCAGTGGAATCGAACTGAAAGCCCAGAAATGACAAAGGAGCAAAGAATATACACTGGAACAAGGAAAGCCTCTTCAATAAATGGTGCTGGGAAAACTGGACTGCCACATGTGAAAGAATGAAACTAGACTACTATCTCACACCATGCACAAAAATCAACTCAAGATGGATAAAAGACTTGAATGTAAGACCTGGAACCATAAAATATATAGAAGGAAACATAGGCAAAGCACTCCATGACATAAACTTCAGAAACATCTTTGAGGACTCATCTCTGTGAAGCCAGGAAAACAAAGGAGAGTATGAACGTTGTGACTATATCAAACTGAAAAGCTTCTGTACATCCAAAGAGACAGCAACCAAATGAAGAGAAACCACACTGAATGGGAGAAAATATATGCATACCATACATCTGATAAAGCAATGGTATCAAAGATCTACAAAGAGATTACACAAATCAATAAAAACAAAGCAAACAAGCCAATTAAAAAAAAAAATGGGCAGAAGTAAAAAGCTATTTCTCCAAAGAAGAAATGCAAATGGCCAACTGGCATATGAAAAACTGTTCAATATCTCTTATTATCAGGGGTAAGCAAACCAAAACCACAATGAGATACCACTTCATACCTGTGAGAACGGCCCATATTAAAAAAAGAAAAACAACACATGCTGGTGAGGATGTGGTGAAAAGGGAACATTCTTACATTGCTGGTGGGAAGGTAAACTGGTGGAGCCACTATGGAAAGCTGTGTGGAGAAGCTTCAAAATACTAAAAACAGATCTACCATATGATCCAGTGATTCCACTCCCAGGAATCTACTCAAAGGACACAAAAACACTAATTCAAAAGGAAACCTCTACCCCTATGTTTATTGCAGCACTATTTAAAATAGCCACAATATGGAGACAACCTAAATGCTGCAAAACAGACGAATGGGTTAGGGACATGTGGTGTATATACGCAGTGGAATACTACTCAGCAGATCAAGGGAGATAAACTCATGCCATTTGTGCAACATGGATGGAGCTGGAATGGATGACGCTAAGAGAAGTAAGTCAAAAGGAAAGATAAATATTGCATGGTTTCACTTATATGCAGAATATAGAGAAGCCAAACAAAGGGTCAGGAAAAAGACAAAATTTGCCAGCTCCCCACAGAGCTGAGGCCTACAGCAGGGGAGTGAGAAGGGAAGAGGGTCAAAGAGGAGAGGGAAGAGCACAAGGGACATGGAGATGGGTCACGGGTGCTATGGTGGTGGGAGAAATACAAAGACTACACTGAGGAGAGAAATCAAATACTGTTTCAAAATTAACAAAAATGTAGGAAAATAAATTAATTAAAAAAAAGCATGAAGCAGAACAGGTAGATTCTTAGATGCCCTTTTCTATTCCACAGAAAAGTATTTATCTCTTTCCCATCTGCAGATCAGAGGATATTCTTTAGAACAACTGATTAGAGGGTACAAATTATGGTTGAGGGTTCCCAGAACATAGGTGGGAGACCAAGAGGAGACTGAAGAACCTTCTAGATAACCAAGCAGTCCTAGAAAAGAACTACAGGTATTAATATTTGTGGATTCCTCAGAGAAACAACACAGCATAAATCCAGTCACCCTACAGTGAAGCTCATCAATTCCCGAACTCTGCACACACCCAGAGCCTCTGATTGGCTTTCAATGTCTCATTCTTAAACAGACTACCAATGGTTAGCAGACACTTGAGGCAAAATTCCAACATGGAGTAAGAGACCAGAATAAACAAGAAAAAGGGAACTCAGAAGAGATAAAGGCAGCTGAAGAAAATTTAAAACTGATTCCCTTAAAGCAATAAGAGGAAAATACTAGATTCATCAAAGAAGGGCCCAAAAGTTATTTTTTAAAAAAGGAATATTCAGGGAATAAGTTTTAAAAATTAAAATAAAAATGGAAAATGAAACAGAAGGGTTAGAAATAAAGTCAAGACAATCTCCCATAAAATAGGATTAAAAAGATAAAACGATGGAAAGCAGGGAAGAAAATAATCAGAGGCTTCATCAAAGAGGTCCAATTAACAGTATATCTTGAAAGAAAAAGGAAAACTGAAGAGGAAAAAACTACAAAGTAAATACAAAAAAACAAAAACAAAAACAAACAAAAAAAACCAAAAACCAAAAAACCCAAAACCCAAACTGAAGGATATGACTTTGCAGATTGAAAAGGATTATTAAACACTAGGAACAAAGACTACAAAGAGATCTACGCAGGGCACCATCATAGCATTTCAGAACAGCAGGGATGAAGAAAAGCCCTCAAAGAATAAAAGTGGATCGGGGCAAATAACTAAGGTGGGTTCAACCATATGACTTGGCCTGCTGGGAGCAGGACATCTAAAATACGTCTGGAAGGCTGTGTCCAAGGTCATTTTTGCTGGCTACAAGCAGGGCTCCGGAACCAGAGGGAGAGCACACTGCTCTTCCTAGAATGGAAGGTGATAAAACAGAATTCTATCTAGGCAAGAGATGTGCTTAGAAAAAACAAAGTGTACCAAGCAAAGAACAACACAGTGACTCCTGGTGACAAACTGAATAAAACCAGAGTCATCTGGGGAAAAGAAATTCGTGCCCATGGAAACATTCGCGTGGTTCATGCCAAATTCTGCAGCAACATTCCTGCTAAGGCCATAGGACACAGAATCTGCATGGGGCTGTACCCTCAAGGATTTAAATTTACTGAAAAGCCAATAAATAAAAGTGGATTTGGGGCCTCCCTGGTGGCGCAAGGTGTTAACATAAAAAAATCGTGATACTGTTGCAGTGACACCTCCATGTAAGGGGGAGTTACCATGGTCCCTGCCCCACTTAATGTGGGTGGAGCTGAGCATCCAGGTGAAGCTTTACAGCATGGAAGGTAGGGCTCAGATAAGAAGGGAGAGTTCTTATTCCTGCAGCCCGCCCGGCACCCTGGTATTTCTGGGAAGGAGACACATGCAGGAGAGACATGTGGGGAGACTATAAATGTCAGCTGTTATCTTGACTTATACTTTGATTTTTGCTCCTTTTGTCTCAAACTTGCCTGGTTCCTTCTGTCGCCTTCCTGTGGTTCCCCGCCAGAAGGTGCCTTAACCTTGTAGCAAGCTTTTGGGCCTCAGGGGCCCGCATGGGGGCAACCCTGTTTCATTGGGCATTAAAACACTTTGGGTGTTTTAATTAGAATATCCTTCCTTTCTTTTTTCCTTTCTATGCACACACTTCTATTAAAGATCTTTCATAACAAGAGTCTCTCTGTGTGTATGAATGGCCGGATGCTTTAGAGGGTGCAAGTTTGGGTGTCCCTGGGGGCCCCTCAGTCGGGCACTAACAATATAACATTACTGGGAGAATGAAAAAGCGTGTGTAAACAGGTTAAATTCTCATCTTCCATAAAAGATGTCACTGCTATCTTCATTAGTTCCAAGATGCATTCTACCTTCACATTTTCTCATCTCTAAAAATACAGGTTCAACTTATAATTAAATGACTTCCTACTGTTATAATTGCCAGAACTGTTACTCTCTTAGTGAGATGTAGGATGATATATAAAAACTTTTTCTTATAGTTGATAACACAGATTCAATGAAATACAACGGAGATCTAAAACTGATAAACCAAGAGAAAGCAAAATAAAGATGCCCTTTAGAAACATGAAGGTAAACACTAGAAATAATTAAAGAACTGAAAGCCTTTGCTTAGGATATTGGGATTTGAAAGTGATATTTTAAGTCTTACAGATTATTTTAAACTTGTGTTTTTATTAACTTCATTAAAAAAACAGTCATATTAAAAAAGGTAAAGAAATTAAGGGAGTAGATCAAAAATAAAGATCATATTGCTTCATGAACTTACAGAAGGAGGCTTATCCACAACAATTCCTGCAAGCAACTGAGATTGTGGTCCTGCTGTTTTCAAGTCATATCGGTTTTGTTCTCGAATCTGAATTGAAAAACAGTAACAACATGTTCTCAACAAATTCTTTACAAGTTCTTTGGGGCAGCTATGCAGATGTCCTGTACTTTCTCTCTTCCTGACGCTTAGTACTGTTTGACCATGTGAGAGCCTCTTCAGTTCCCACCACCATAAAGTCCTCTTTTTCCATTCTAACAATACATTAATCTCTTCCACTCTTCTTGACATGTGATATCCCATTGTCTAAAGGTGTTAGAGCACTGTTTTTCACTAACACAAGGGCTCTTAGAGGTGGAGATATGCTTAGTATTCCCCCTGTAACCTACTCACCTGTTACTAGCACAGAAGTGGAACAGACAATACAAGCTAAAAATACATTGAATTTAACTTCCAAGTTTTCTGTAGTCAGATTTAATAACTAGTGATTTAAATATAAAACAGCACAAAAATGTCTCCCCTCACCATGGAAGATCACATCTTACCTTATTTCTCTTTTCTAATACCTCATTTGGGTTTGTGTTCAAAGGAACAAACTGATTTGGATCTTCAATTTTGATAGGTGTTCCACTACTAACTTTAGAGGAGTCCTCTGCTTTCATCCACTAAAGAACAAAAAATTTTCGAGAATGAAGCTTTGTGTTAAGAAATATATAGGTTTTTAATAACTGTTTATTCACTCAAGGAGGGGGTAAGCATAGACTGCCAATATTCTAAAGAATTTCACCACTGTATTTAGTGGTCAGTTAATACATATCTCATACAAGTTAGAAGAAAAAGGCTCACAATCAGCATTTACTAAAAAAAATGCTGGTACTGTTCATGTGAATACTTAATTATACCACTAATTAAACTTTCTCCTCTTGGTATCTCTAAATATGAAGCTGGGAATGAAGCACATAGAGCTTGATCTCACATGAACTCACATTCAGAGCTGTCTAGCGAATTAAGTGTCATCAACAGATGATGGCCAAGAAATCACCGAAAGTGACTCAAGGAATCTCTTAAGATTTTGCTTCCCTGACTTTATTTTGGTGGACAGAAAAGGCCAACTCCATGACCAGCATTTTATAAAGGGAATAAACTGGTGATAATCTACAGTATGATAAAAGCACATAGACAGAAGAGCCTTACATAATTCTTCTCATTTACCCTGCACTACAACCTTTAAAGAAGGCAAATAGTCATCAAAATTTCCAATATTTTTGACATAAAGCTTAATTCATGAATAACTAGGCAAAATATTTAGTAAAGGCAAGCCAAGTGAAACAGTGGCATACTGTGATTTTGGTCCTGGGACTGGTTTCCCCATTTCGAGACTCCTCAGGCACATTCACTTTCATGTAAGTATTTGGTGAGTTCAGCCATCTTGTTTTTTCTCGCTGCTGTCTCTGTGCCATGTATTTGAGAGGAGAGAGTGGCACTGCATCATCTTCAAATGAAAAAGCAGTCACAGTTGCTGGGATTTCCACATCACTTTTGTGCCTTGGCTTCTCTCGAATGAGGGGGTGCCTATAAGCATAGCCTGTTCTATACCCCTACGGAGGAAAAAACACATATGAAAAAATCAATTCTGTATCAACACAGCATTTATAATTTTTAAACAAATGATTCAAAATGACCCCTTTGTTGAAAAACAAAGGGGAAAACTTACCTCCACCCACCCCTCACCCCCCCACCAATAACCTTCACATAACACCAGTTAAAATGAAGCAAGTTGCAAGATCTGGTTAAAACTAACTCCAGCTGACAATGTGATTTTCATTCATACAACTGTTCCTGACAAAGGTAATTTCAAAATTGCTGACTAGAAACACTTCCCTAGCTATAAACTGGTTTTCTGGAGGCTAAGTTGGAGTGCTCATTTATGTCTTTGCTCCTGAGTCCAAAGGCTATCTGCCATCTGACACTTTGTGGAAGAGGGAAAATTCTAGATAAGGTGACATTTGCATGTTTCACTGTTTGCTTCTTTAAAATAGGTAAAATTATACTGGAACACCTTCCTAGGGTCCAGCTCAGCTTCTGGAGGAGGAAGGAACATGTTCCAAAAACAAAGGGAAATGGAAGCATTTTTTTTTAAATTTATATATATTTTACATCATTGTTCTTTTTTTTTTTTTTTTTTTTGTGGGACCCTTGCCGGGGCCGGGCAACAAACCGGTGCTGCAGAGGCTGACAGGCAGCCTCCCAGCCCAGCGCTCAACCACCAGGGGAGGCCCCATTGTTCATTTTTAAACAATGTTTGCTTTCCTATTGTCCCCCCTTAGGTGTAGTCCCCATAGAATTTCCTTCGCCAATGCACCCGTGCACCATCATGACATTCAAGTTTGTTAAAACTTTTCACCTACCAAATTATCTAGAGTCCTCATTAGCCCTTCAAACTCAATCTCGCCAACCTTCCATTTGTGATGGGAACCCATATTCACGCCTCCTCCTCCAGATGCTGCCACAGTGTGCGTGTAAGCTTTATACTTCTGAAGATCCAGTATAAGCAGATTGTCGATTCCACCTGCTCCTGCTAATGCCTGCACCTGTAGCCAATGGAAAAATACAGAAGCACAACTGTAAAGACTATAATGAGTATTTTGCTTTTCAAAAGGCACAATTGCAATTCAGCAAGTATCCATAATTAATCACTCAGGCTATCAACAACAAAACAAAGTATTGTTTGTGAAAGTAGGCAGTTGAGGTGTCTTTTCCATCTACCTGAAAAAGACAGCTTCCAGGACTCTCACTCACCACAACAGAAAACAGAGTCATACCTGTGAACATATTTCAAGAAACTAATTGTTTTGCCAAATTTTGAAGTTCTTTTCTTGCCATTTTCCCCATGACTATGTGATAAATACTTTTGCTGAAAGTTATAATTTTAAAAGAATATAGGCATTATACTATGAATTTAAGGATATTTAGGCAGAAGTTAACTTGTTAATTTAATTTGGGCTTTTTTATAGTCTCATTTGAGAAAATGGCCATGAAAGTAAAGAAAGAAGTTGCCTCTTAAAATAAGTTGAAGTTGGGACCTCTTTTTTGTAGCTCTTCTAATAAATAAAGATTATTACCAACTACTCAAAGAGAATCTGCTAGCTTTACTTGAAAAGAGAAAAAAAAACCCACATCTTTGCTGGCAGGTGCCTTTGCTTCTCAATAAACACCATATATAACACTAGAGCATGAAAATAGAGAACAGTGCAATTATACTTTTTTAAAAAGTAGGATTATGGAGAAAATGCTGTTTGTGAGAGACTTAGGTATGTGTGAGTTTTAATTTTCTTTCTTCATATTTTTAATTCAAGAGCTAACTGAGTTGATCCTTTATTCTCAAGTAAAGCAGAACTTCTTTTAAAAAAGATCAAAACAAAAAGCCACTGGTCAAATAGTATTTTGGAAATAAGTAAACACAAAACTCAACCAAGCAAATAACAAAGCAAGAAAAAGGGTGGGGTGTGGGGGGGCCAGATAATTTTTCCCACCTGAATCTCACAGGCCATCTGCGCATTAAAAATATAATGAAAAGCCTCCTCAATTGTTTCTCCAAGTGCAACCACACCATGATTTCTGAGTACCAGCACCTAAAATAGAATCCCAAAACTTTAAATAACTGGCATAGCTTACAATGTTTTCATCAAAGGCAAAAGCAACAGAATTATGTCCTTGGTAAGAAACTCTACTACATACCTTACAACTGGGTCCAAGAACTTTTTGCAATTGAATTCTCTCCTCCTGTTCATCAAGTAACCCTTGGTAGTCATAATAGGCGACATCTCCCAGGATCAGGGACTCTTGAGAAATTGGAAGGATCCCGCACTTCATGGAGGACACCTATTTAATTTGGTCCATGCCAAGACAACACATTTAGGTACTAAATATGTTTTCATAGACATCTGATTCTTAAGTTGGCTCAGGAAGCACCCTATTCACTGTGTTCGTAACAGCCCACCTGCCACTTAAATACTTTGCTTCTTTCAGAAAATAAAGAACTTCTTAAAATACTACCTGATTCATGTTGTATTACTTGGGTATGTATGTATATATTATATGTGTACCAAACAGTATGAAAATTCTTTACCCCAAAGAATTAATGACTCAATTATTAAATTGATTAATTAAAAAATTCAAATACTCTCTCTCTAGCTGTGTCCTAAAATAGTAGCATTTGCTTTCTCAGTATGCGGAATATTATTATTTTAAAGGTGATTTTGAGTGGCTGGGGCTGAAAGAGTGCATCATGTAAGGCATCATGAAAATAACACCTTTCCCAGAGTGACTGTTAGCTTGGGCACTGGCATAACTTACAGCTGCTGTGGCAAGTGTATGGAGGTGTATCACACACTTAACATCAGGACGAGTCGAATAGATTGCAGCATGTGGACTGAATCCTGTATGGTCAATTTTCAAATTAGTACTTCCCTGATCAACCACTTCTCCTATTATATTGACTTTCACCTGGAAAAACCAGAAAGACATATTTAGTTGGTAGATATATATCAACGTTTGCCTGTGTCTTGCAAGGAAAACCAAGAAGTGACAAACTTTTTTGCTGAAAACCAGATTGTAAATATTTTAGACTTTGGGAACCTCTGTTGCAACTACTAAACTCTGCCACCCTCCATAATACAAAAGCAGCCATTAACAATTGTGAAAGAATGGGTATGGCTTTGTTCCCATAAAACTTTGTTTATAAAACAGGTAGTCTGCGCAAAACTTATTTATCAAGAAGTAGTTTTGAAAAAGATCACTGACTTATAAGCTCTTCATTGAAGGTCTAGACAAGTTTGGCTTTTACTAAACTGGCTTAAAAATTTCAGCTCCTATTGTACAGGTGAAGATAGTGACTAGGGGTACTATCATGGAAAAACAAAACAATAGAAGTCAGGCCCTAGCCTTGCATCAAGTGAACTTTGTCTAATTATCTATAAAATATACATAGGCTATCTGTGTGTGTGTGTGTGTGTGTGTGTGTGTGTGTGTGTGTGGCGGGGGGGCAGTTCTAAAATATATTCCAGAACATACAAGGTGGGAAAACATTCAGGAATCTCTTCCAAACATGGACACGTTAACTGATAAAACCAACTCATTTATTAGTCTTTTCAATTATCCTGTTTTTCTTGAACCCTAAAGTTTTTCTTAAAAATCAACATAACTTTTCAAACTCTTTCCTGTTCACTAGTATGTTCTTCCATCCATACCTTCTCTTGTTCTAGCCTGTGCTAAAAGCTACAACCTGTCAGAAAAGCACAAAGGAACAGAAAAAAATAACATAGGAATGAAAATTATACCAAATTGGAGGCTGTGGCTTCAGAAAAAGATAGGCCTCTAGGAATTATTATAATGTGATCTTGCTCCTTACTTATTCTTACCTGGGAGAAAGGAAAAAAAAAAAACAACAGGGAATTACTATGAGGTGTTCATATTTTGCAGAATATATTTACAATTAATACTTGATTTTTTTTTAAAGATTTATCTATTTATGCATATAAGAACTGGGGTACAGGTCAGGAGTGTGGTGGGTGAGAGGATTCACCAGAGATAGATTGGGGAACAGAACAGGCAGATTGACTGAAATACACTGCTGAGGGGAGCAGTGGGTGAGACAGGAGAGGTCTGCTGCGCCATGTGGGTTGCTCCCTGGCCGGGGATCGAACTCGTGCTGCAGAGGCTGTGGATAGCTTCACAGGTTGAGCCTTAACCCCTTGCGCCACCAGGGAGGCCCATACAATGAATACTTTTAAGAGGTGGGGAGTGTGGGGAAGAAACAACAAAGCAAAAATTAAATGTGTGTAACATGAACCTTTCCTTGTGAGGTTTTCTCCCCTCAGCCCTTAAGCATTTGCTAGAAAATTCTTACATTAGTTTTTCATTTACTGGACTTACCTAAAATGCTACTATGGAGTTTCTAAGGTCACTTAGGGTCAGCTACATTCATGAGAAAAACAATTTTATTCAACCAAAAGTGACAAGTATTGTAATTATGATTGACAACATGGAAATTAAAGGGAAGGGGGCAAAGGAAAGAGAACAGAATCTCTCCCTAGGAAGGAACTGAAGTGGAGGTGGAGGGGGAGACTGAGGAAGGGAGAGGAGAAGGAAGAAAGGTTGTGTGAAGACCATGCTGAGCATCTGTTCTGTTTTCATCACAGCATATTTTAATCCTTCTTTGCTTCCCAACATTGCCTTGCTTCCAAATGTGGCAACATGAAAACAAGATGATAATGAAGGAGAAATATGTATATATATATATATAAAGATTTATTTACTCGTGCATACAAGAACCGGGGCACAGGCCAGATGTGGGGTGGTGAGAGGATTCACCAGAGACAGAGCAGGGAACAGAACAGGCAGACTGACTGGAATACACAGCTGAGGGGAGCAGCAGGCGAGACAGGAGAGGTCAGCCATGCCATGTGGGTATCTCACCGGCTGGCTGGGATCAAACCTGTGCTGCAGAGGCTGCAGATAGCCTCACAGTGCTGTGCTCAACCACCTGCGCCACCAGGGGAGGCCCAAAAGGGAAAAATACATTTAAAAAAATAAAGACCAGGGAGGAAACTTCCCTGATTCCCTTAATTTTTTCCTGTCCCAAATGCTTTTAAAAGCCACTGATGCTTAGATATAATTAACACGGAGAGAGAAAATTCTGCCAGAGGGATTTCTTCCTGGATAAAAGGAACAACACAGATAAAGAGTGAAAGTTGGGGTAATCGCTCCCTTAGAGATAAGATTTAAATCAGGATTAGGTTATGAGCCAACATGCTGGTTCAGGGAATAAGTCTGAAAACTGGATTTAAGAGGAAAGATGAGAAGAGCAGAGTTGCTTCCTGGTTTGGATTTTATAAAAAGAACTGAAAGCCAAAGAACTCACTGAGATATATGCATTTGCCAGGTGTGCCCATCCAAACAAGTCCACAAGTCTGTACAGGCTGGCGAGTTTACAGCGTGTAAGTTTTTCTCCCTTCACAAATGTGGATGTATCTGCCCCGGGAAGGTCATTGATAGGTGTGACCATGCCAAGACCTGCGAGAGGAAAAGAGAGATTAAGGTCAAGTAAGCCCTCACCTGGCACTAGTTTCTAGAAAGCAGCCTGAGTCTGGGAAGGTCCCTGTCTTGTAAATCATGATTTGAGACTTACCAGCCCAACACTATATTTCAGTAGTTTATCTTCCTTCAGAAAAGTATGCCGAGAGTACAAACATGTATCCGCTATCTTCTTTGCTTGGTAAAAGCGGTTTCATATAGTTCTTGTTCAGCAGTGACTGTCAGGGTTCACAGTACTGGGGAAATAGTCACATGACCCCCAAGGTGAAGTGTTATACTGTAATCTGCTAATTTTTTGATGAGACAGTCTCACAGAAAGCTACTTTTCTAACATTTTTTTAAAAAAGATTTATTTATTTATTTATGCAGAGAAGAACTCTGGGTGTAGGCCAGAGGTGTAGGGGGTGAGAGGACTCACCAGAAAAAGAGTGGGGAGAACAGGAGGATCTACTGAAATACACTGCTAAGGGGAGCAGCAGGTGAGACAGGAGAGGTCTGCTTCGCTATATGTGGCTTAGCTCTCCCCTGGGGGTCGAATTCAGACCACAGTGGTGATCGTGCTGAGACTTAACCCCTACACCATCAGGCAGGTACCTACTTTTCTAGTATCTCTTTTTGTCTTAATTCAAATAAAAAATATTTCAAGTGGAAAAGAAAGCACTTAAACAACAGTCTCTTGTCCTCACTAAGAAACAAAAACTATCTTGGTCTCTAATGACCCAATTGTGAAAATCAACTTTTGCTCAGTCTTCATTTTCCTTGACCTCTTTACAGCTTGACATTTACACCACTTCTTTCCTAGAATCCTTCTCCAGGCCCGTGAGGTACTATCCTGGATCTCCTGCTCCCTCCCTCTCTCTCTTTTTTTCCCCCAATGTTCCCATTCCCTTTTCATCCGCTTCTTTCTCCTTCATCAAGTTCTCTTACTTCTCTGCCCCCCAGTCCCCTCCCCCAAAATGTGGTTCCTTCCCAAAGCTCAGTCCCCTCCTCTAGGCTCTTTTCTCTTTGTGCTTTTCCCCATGAGAACATTGTCTACTCCCAAGCCTCCAGCTGCTGCTTCTGCACAGATGACACCTTCGCCTTCATCTCTGACCAGGCCCTGCAGCCCATTATTTGGCTTTCTGTTTCTAACTGCCTGCCACACATAACATGAAAACTTAAAGGGTCTGGAGTGATTTTATTTCCTCTCCCCTGATTTTTCTTACCTTCTCTCTTTTCCCTGCTCCCTAATATTAATGGTACTACAATCCTTGAAGGCTTCACCACTAAGTACTTTTTTTTTTTTTTTTTTTTTTTTTTTAATAAATTTTATTGTTATATTCCCCATACAATTGCAGCCCCCCCATTCTGACCCCAATCCCTCCCCTCCCACCCCCGCCCCCCTAAAAGTGTCTCTGGTTCATAGTTTTTTGTTGATTTTGATTTTCACTTTCTTATAGTTATTCATTTTCCTGGTCCCTTATTTAAGTTTTCTAGATTCCTGCTATGAGTGAGACCATCCGGTATTTTTCTTTTTCTTTTTGGCTTATTTCGCTGAGCATGATCCCTTCCAGCGCCATCCATGTTGCTGCAAATTGCATGTGTTTATCTTTTTTGAATGCTGAGTAATATTCCATGGTATATATGTACCACATCTTCTTGATCCAGTCATCTATTTTTGGGCATTTGGGTTGTTTCCAAAGCTTAGCTATTGTAAACAGTGCTGCTATAAACATAGGGGTGCAGGTGTTCTTTGGAATTGATGTTTCTGTGTCCTTTGGGTAAATACCTAGGAGTGGAATTGCTGGATCATATGGAAGCTCTATGTTTAGTAGGTCCAGAAATCTCCATACAGCTTTCCACAGTGGTTGGACCAGTTTGCACTCCCACCAACAGTGCAGAAGAGTTCCTTTTTCTCCACACCCTCGCCAACATTTGTTGTTGCTAGTTTTTTTAATATGTGCCATTCTCACTGGTGTAAGATGGTATCTCATGGTAGTTTTGATTTGCATTTCCCTGATGACAAGTGATGTTGAACATTTTTTCATATGCCTGTTGGCCATTTGCATTTCCTCTTCAGAGAAGTTTCTTTTAAGCTCTTCTGCCCATTTTTTGACTGGATTATTTTCTTTGTTGTTGTTGAGTCTCATCAGCTCTTTGCAGATTTTTGTGATCAGTCCTTTATCATTAGTGTTGGGTGCAAAAATGTTCTCCCAGTTGGTGGGGTTTCTCTTTGTTTTTGTTATTGTCTCTTTTGCTGTGCTTGTACTTCTTAACTACTCCTGGGGCACCACGTGTAATTTATCACAAGTCCCATCACGCTTTTCTTCACAAGTTCCTCATTTTTCACACTTGAGGTTACTACCTCACATGCAACCCTTGCAATGAACCTAATTAGTCTTGTCTTTGCCTGTAGTCCCTTTCTTTGTATAGCCATTCTGCATCACACCATCAGACTGAATTTCCTAAAACACCTCCTGTAACCTCACCACCCTCCTGATCAAAGTTTTGCAGGAACCCAAACTTTAAAAGGCTATAGAGGCCCAGAAACTCATGTAAATGTACACAGTGGGACTGTGCATCATGCAGGCTACTAGTAGCACACACGTGGTTTGAAGGGGCAGCGAAGACTCACCCGTCAGTGGTTGCCATGTGAGAACTGTCTAGACAATCAGAACTTTTAAAGAGAGGTTCCAAGTCAACACTCTAATGTGAAATCATCTAATTCTGAAGTATTGTGAACTTATTCAAAGAAATACTGTTAATATGTAAGGCATCTAAAACAGTATAATTTCTGATAAAAATTCAGAGCCAGCCGTTAACCTATCTCCTGCTCCCCCTATCCTTCCAACTTTAACTTCCACTTTTCACACTACAACAAATATTAAAAAAATATTACAGGCAAATTGGCTGATTTCCATTCCCTGACCTCTGAACACTAAGACCTAGCTTTCCTGCTACCAGGCCTTTGTGCATTCCAGCAGCACTCCTGGAACACCCTTCCTACCCTGGTATCCAGATACTCATGGGAGTCTCTCCTTCTTATTTCTGTCTCTAGATAGTTTTCTTCTTTCAACTTTTAGAGTAATCTCTTTAGACTCTTTTCTTTTCTACCAATACCCTCTTATATGATTACTTAACCAATATACATAGCTTTGGGTACTATTTCTCTATGTCCACCTGCAAAGCTACTCTCCTAAACATTTCCAACTGCTGCAATGTCTTGGCAACTCTCCTAGCATCTCTGACATACCGAAATGGAATATCCTTAATTTCCCAAATCAAACTAGATGCCCAACTCAGGACTGTCCTATTTTGTTTATAATGTCATGAAATCTCCCAGGTAATTCTTTACAAAGAAACCATCACTATCTTTTTCAATCATTATCCTGCCTAAAATGGCTTTCCTAGGTGAGACTAAAATCCAGACATGGCTATGAAGACCTATTTATTTTAGCCTCTGCCTATGTTTCTCACTTCACTTTGTTTCACTTGTCTCTTCAAAAACCATGCTCCAGAGCGGAAACTCTATTTTTGCTCTTTGGAAAGGCTGCCAAACTCATTCCCATCTGACATTTGTACTTGTTCCTTCTACTTTCAATGCTCTTTCTCCATTTCAGTATGGCTTGCTCCTTCTTGCTATTCAGATTTCAGAAGAAATGTCAACTCCTCAAGGGAGGTTCTCTCAATCACTCAATCTAAAATAGTCAACTTAGTTACTCCTGTCAAATCACAATACATTAATTCTCTGCATGACACTTTCTATTATTTCACCTTTATCTTTATTTATCCTATATTTTGGTCTTAAGCACAGGTATCTTGTCTGTATTGTTTATCACTGTATCCCCTTGTCCCTAATAGAGTGCCTGGCACTTAACTGTTCAATATTACAGAAAGACTGAACCAAACTAGCCCAACCTTTGAATTTTTCTGTTTCTTCTGATGAAATATTTCTCCCAAGGTAGGAAAGTCAGAGATTTCAGAACTGGTTCTTCCCACTCCATCCCACATCAAACCTGCTAAGTCTTCTCTACTTTTCTATAGCTATTCTTTTCTCACTGAATCTCTATCTTCTTGTACCCATAACCGCTACTTTAAGTTCAGGCACTTATAATTCACACTGGGACTCTTTCAAAGATTCTTTAACCAGTCTTTATGTGCCAACATACTGGTCCACTTAGAGTTCCACCAACGTACTCTCACCTTGCATGTTCTATCAGATCTCTTTTTATGCCACTCCTCTATTTTTAAGGTACTTGAATCCATTCAACTCTTACTTGTAAATCTTTAACAAAGAAGGAAGGAGAAAAGAGAAGGAAAAGAAAGGAAAAAAAGAGGAACACAAATTCCTTGACTGTGACATGAAGGTGGCTGATGTCCCCTCTTTCAATCTGTGCACCTGCCCTGGTTTTATAGAGCGTTCTGCCCATATCTGGCTCGAAGTACTTCGTTAAAGTACTTGAACTCAACACCTTGTGATTCTTGGAACCCTTACGCCGTTCAGCTCACCAAAAACTGGTGCTCACTAAAGAGCTGTTGAATGAGGAAATGTATGAACCCCTCTTTACACCAGGTTCTAACTATTCCATCCACAAAGCCTGGTTAGTTCAGGCCTCTTTTCCCATAAAGTTTTCTCAGTCCACTCCAGCCAAAAATTAATTCCAACTCTGAGTTCATAGCATGATGACTAATAAAAGGAAATCTTTTATGAACTGTTTTGTAATGTTTTCCTCTACAATAATCTTTCAGTTTTAACCTTTTGTCCATCATGGTATGTCTCTTCAATTAATTATACATTTATCTAGTATGTATATACAAATATACATTGTCTTATAACTATTTTGTAATCCTCACAAAGTCCAGTAAATGCCTAGTTATGAAAAAAGTAAGAGATTCTAACACTATGTCACTCCCAATATTAGATGATATAAACTTAAGGGTTGAACCTGAGTAGAATATACTGTTAGAGACATACAGTGTTCAAAACAGATAGAATTATAGTCTTTTTAACTTTCCAAAACTGACGTACTGAGGGGAGATGAAGTAAAGCCTGAAAAAGAATTGGCCATGATGTAATCTGCAATCTGTTGTAATGCTAGTAATCCAGTTGGGTTGTGGCCTTTCTTCATCTGTTCTTGAATAAGGCATTCCAGGTCTTCCCGAAAGGCCTGTAACACACAAAAATCACCACTGAGCACGTACATCTCACTTGAAGCTGGATGACCTAAACATACCTTGCTTTGATATGATCAATCTTTCCCGGATCCCTCTTCAGACCAGCTTTCATCTATATTATTTTAAAGCAAATATAAGATACAAAATAATAAAAGTGAAATACTGGAAGCAGTAGCAAGAAGCTTGCTTTCCAAGGAGCAAAGAATCACTAGGCATTCTTAACCTCAAAGAAAGTGAGATATTGTAACATCTACTGTAGACAGTTTAGATAAAGCAACTCTGTGAATAATATGCAACTAGAACACCAGTACACATTGATGCTAAAAGAAACTTATTCCTTGCCTAGCAGCCTAATCATGTAGGTAAGGGCAGAGTCCCTATTAGAATGGGGTACCATTGACTACAGAGCAACTCATAGCAAAAGCCTTCCCTAAAACACACTAACTCAGGGCTTCCATTTTATGATTTCCATGGTAATTTCTTAGCTCCATAAACTGTGAGAGCAAACTGATAAGAAGCCTTGGGAACTTCTGTGACACTGTACTAAAGAAAAGATGTATTTTCTTCAACTTTGGGTTCTGTATGTTCTTGTTCTGGAGTTCTGCTATCTCATATCTTTTTTTTTTTTTGCGGGGGGAGGGTGGGTGTTAGTGGCAGAACCAGTGTTTTTATAAATCAAAATTCTGAAAATGTAGAGATCTCTATTCCGGCCAGTCTTGAGTTGCTAGTATGATGGCTCATTTGGAAACCTCTCAATTCTTCACGTTAGTTGACACAGCTGGCTTTGTCTTTCCAACACTTATTATATTCATCATCTGTTCTCTTACACATGTCTATTTTCAGTCATTTTAAACAGGAAGGTTCTTGCAATATAAATCATCTAAACCTTGTTCCTCCATTTGAGATTGGTTACATATGTAGTAGAATACCCTGCCAGGCATTCAATTAAATTCTTTCCCATTTCACCTAAGAGGGAGAAGACAGGAAATTGCTTTGGAATCACTATCTCTTTGGGAAGAGTCTTGGAGATCACAGAGGGAAACTTCCTTAAAGCGTGAAACTCCTCTGAGTCATTGACAATAGCTTTCCTTGTAGGACTGGGGATGGGATTCCTGTTTTGATGTAGCATTGATTAAAGTGGTCAGTGGGATTAGATGTTTAGAATTTTCTTTTTAATTTGTGCTAATGGTTTACATTTAACAAGCCTTGAAATTGTAAAAGAAAAACCATGGTTAACTGGTATAAACTGCTCCTTGAACTCAGAATCTAAATATGGTCATAATTAGTATTTTTTAAATTACTCAAACATCAACCTGATATAGTAGCAGAAATTAAAGCATTAGAGGTGTTCAGAAAAAAACTTCTTTTTGAAAAAAAAATAATGACCTAGGAGTCCATGGTGGGAAGGGAAAATGTAGTTCTAAGGCTAGGAGGTGGTAGACCAGTCCTGACTCAATGCTTATGTTGCCTTTAGAACAATAGTTGATAGGCATCTGTGCATGAACTGAAAAAGCTGAGTACTAAGTACATCATGAGACAACCTAACTAAGTTTAACACAAAAGAGGGATTCAACCTCCCCGATGCACCATGGCTGCCTGTACGGGCATCTGGGCCAACCGTGAACCTACATCTTCTGTTGGACTGAGCAAGATTAGTTTTCAATATCACCACCATGAGGTAGGGAGGTGCACTGACAGTGGTACACTGAACAGATTTTAGAGTTCTGCATATTGTCATGTATGCAGACAATGCACACAATGGCTATGGAAGCCACTTACAAAGACTTTTGGAGTGTGTAAGCACTGAAGTTCTAGTGATAATTTAGGGAAAGTGTCAGTGCTAAGAGGAAGATGCTTTAATTTCTGCTAATATATCAGGTTGATGTTTGAGTAATTTAAAAAATACTAATTATGACCATATTTAGATTCTGAGTTCAAGGAGCAGTTTATACCAGTAACCATGGTTTTTCTTTTACAATTTCAAGGCTTGTTAAATGTAAACCATTAGCACAATTAAAAAAAAAAAATCTAAACATCTAATCCCATTGACCGCTTCTACTTCATTTAAATATATGACTTAAACCAGAGAATAATCTTATATCTTCTACAAAGACACGTTTATCAGAAAACTCCATTAATACATTTCCAAGACCTTGTGAAGATAAAATGGTTGTGAGCTATATATAAGATGGATGGATGGCTTCATACAGATGAGTAACATGAGTATTTTACCATGTTTAAGGCTGAGAGGAAAAGAATCCTCCAGATATGCTCATTTATCTTTATATAAACTACAGAAAACTTCTGGACACATGGCAATGGGCCAAACTGCTCTTCTAAGACTTTATCTTCCCTTCAAAACCAAACTCCATTCAAACATTTCTCAGTTTAAAGCAGCCATAACCAATAATCTTGATTCAGTTAAAAAAAAAAAAAGAGTCTACTATGTGTATGACTCACTTATTATTTACAATATCTCTGAGAAGTAGGCATTATTTATGTTGTTGCTGAATATACTACTTTTAATGTTGTTCCAGGAAAATTTTAATATGGATCCCATAGATTAAAACCATTCAAAATAGGGGCTTCCTGGTGGCACAAGGGGTTAAGTTTCAGCACTATGAAACTATCAGCAGCCACTGCAGCATGAGTTTGATCCCTGGCCAGGGAGATAACCCATATGGTGCAGCAGACCTCTCCTGTCTCGCCCGCTGCTCCCCTCAGCAGTGTACTTTGGTCAGTCCGCCTGTTCTGTTCCCCACTCTGTCTCTGGTCAAACCTATCACCTCCTGCACCTCTGGCTTACACCCTAGCTCTTGTATGCATAAATAAATCAATCTTTTAAAAAATGATAAAAAATAAATACAGGTAAGAAAAATCAAGCTAAAGAGAAAATAAGCATAAGGAGGTGAGAGTCAGGGATGAGGCTAAGACACAAAGTACATGATAAAAAACTGTGCATTTGCTAGAGATGAGTCAATTTATCTAAATTAATAGTCAGCATGAGTCAAGATAATCTGCTCAGTATGCTGATTTACAATGGCGTTCAGATTAAAAACCAAGCAGTTGCTCAAGAGAATCACAAATATTTATGAAATTGATGAGAAATTTCTGTAGGGTGGGATGAGAAAGCTTAAATAAAAAAGGCTGAAAAATTTTTCAAGGTCACACAGCTAGTAAATGTCAGAGGCAAGCTACTCAGACAAATGTTTTCTCATTAGTGGAAATTCTTTCTCACTTCCATATATTTCACAACTGGATGGGTGCTATCTTAAAGCTTTGGGATGATCCATGTCATAGAGGCATGTATAAACTCTTCTGAAATCAATTAAGAAAAAATATGAATTTCTCCTGTTAAGGTTAGCATATAGCTTCTATGCAGTATAGGAAAAGAACAATTTTCAAAATAAAATTTCCCAGTCTTTTCACTTCAACAGAGAAGAATTTTCTACTACAAAAACTTAATGGTTTTGTCATGAACATTTATTAACTAATTTTTTGGTGTTTCAAATGTTTCTGTAATATTGTTCAGATAATTACTGAATAAACCAGTGAGTATAAAAACTGGATCCACTGGTTTTAAAATTTATCAATAAGCTTAGTAAACTTATGCTAAAGGAATAAAAATTTTATTTATGTTTACAATTGGTACTTACATTCCTACTAAAATCTACTGTTTATCATTGATTCATCTGAATCTCACAATACAGTCTTGAAATAGATGATGATTTACTCAAAGTTGGCATAGCTAATAAGTAAATATAATAACGATTCAAATCTGTAACTCTCAGTTGGACATAGAATCTTTTCCTAATTTTATCAGAGTGTGGTTATATCACCAAACATGAAGACAGCTAATAAGGCAGCAGGCATGTTGTGATCAGAAATACTGAATAAGACTCTTAGGCTAGATCAGAGGATTAGGTTGTAATGATAGATAAAGCAAAAAAAAAAAAACAAAAACCAAAAACACAACACAACAACACAAAAACCAACATAGCAGCAAAGGATCCTCAAAGCACTTGTCCTATTACAGCTAGGAATTCTCCCATGAAAGCAGAATGAGAAACTAACTTATAAGCAGGGCAGCAAGGTCACACACTGGGCTTCTGAAGTCAGATTAAGCCAACAGTTCCCTGGAGTCTCTCCTAGAGAAGAGTTAGGTTAGAAGATCAAACACAACACACACAAAACCACAGCATAAATCATGTCTTTTTTCTCAGATGCAGAAGAGCAGAGAAGAGGAGGCAGTGGGGGTCATGATGCCTTGAGTACACGAACATATGAGCCTAAATAAGTCAGTGTGTTGGGGAGACAGCTTCTCTAAGATCTGCAAAATCAAAATACGGCCTAAGGAATTATGATTATAATCTTCAAAGTGTTGCTACAAAGGTATAACATGGTTTAAATTAGCAATAGCGTATGTAACTTTACTTATACAACTCCCACAAAAAGAGGTGCCGCTGTGTGCCAGGCTACTGCATTTAATTGTCACTTCATGCTTTTCTGTCACATTTAATTGTCACAACAACTGCATGAGGTCCATTTTACCAACAAGGATACTGAAGGTCATATTGAGTTTCCTCATGTCACACAGCTAGTAAGTGGTGGGTAAAAATGAAGATTTAAGCCTAAATCAGAAACAAGCACCATTTACAAATATATTTATTCAACACTTTAAAAAAAAGATTTATTTATTTTATTTATGCAAGAACAGGGGTACAGGCCAGATAAGTGAGAGGCTGAGAGGATTCACCAGAGACAGAGAGGGGAACAGAACAGGCAGACTGACGAAATACACTGCTGAGGGGAGGAGCGGGTGCGACAGGAGAGGTCTGCACACAGTTATGAATTCATTTTATATATTAAATCAAACTGTTTTTGCATTTTCCCTCACTGATATGTGACTTGAAAATTTCACTCTGAGTTTGTAAGAAAATTAACAAACCCCTTAAATATGATTTACAAAGTTTAAATATCACCGTGCACACAGAATTTTCACCTGACTTGAGGTTATAGTTCACTTTTAATCTAGTTTGGTGTTTATGCACATATATGTACTTGCATTAGGCTAATGTAACATTAGCCTTATGTAACAGACCACCTAAAAAAAACCTTACATATTTCTATGCTTCTGAGTACCAAAAGAAAGAAGAAAAATATGTGCATGGCATATATTTCACAGTTCCCAACATTCCAGTCACATCTTTGTTTTCTTCACAGATATTTAGTCTGAATTGGGTGTCCTTGAATTCACAAGAATCTTTTAGATTCCTTTAATGAAACATTATACCCAGAAATCACACAAAGAAAATTTATATTCCCAAAGACAATACTAATTTGTTATTAAAATTTCCAAGTCAAATATACAAATTAGGTGTTCATATTGCCTCTGAAAGACTTGGGGTGAAGTTCACTCTTCCTCCACCAGTCTTGTGCCCTGGGTACATTTTTAAGACACTTCCTACTTTATCATATCAAAGTTTCCAAAGAAAAAAAAAATTAGAACCTTAAAAATATTTCAACTCACAGGACTTTGTAAGATCTGTGTGACTCGTTTCTTCTGCTCCATCATATTGAAGTCTTGGCGTAGATCAGGAGACATGTTCCTCTCCCTAATATATTCTGGGTCATTTTCATTGATGCGGTCGAAGTACCTCTCCTTGTGAGGCATGCTTGGAGGAGGAGGCGTAGTGATCACGCCTTCGCTGGCATCTGAACTCATGCTTCAAGTCTGCTGATACCTCTTGTTATCTGTATTAATAAACACAAAGGAGAACATTCATGATAAATTCATTTTTATTAAATTCTCATTTTACATGGGTTAAGCAGAACTTTTCATTGGCTTCAGTAACAGTTGGACCTTTCTGTAAAAAGCAGCTTCTCAAAAAATATCAGGGTAATTTTTTATTAAGGTAAAAACAGATTGTAATACTAAGTTGGAAAACTATATTTTCAGAGCTAATGAAAACTTGTGGTTCAGTTACAACAATATCATCAGTTACCAACTGCATTTTTACAGGAAGCAACAATCAAAATATCTGAAAGCAAAACAGCATATCTAACATGGCAAAAGTTCACCATTAGTATTTTCTGTGGAACTTCTCTTTTCTCTCTTTCTTACTCATGGTTTTGTCTTAGACCAAATTCAGATCATATTAATGACCACTACATTTTACAGTGAATATAATTTACTAGTACTAGAGGAAAAACAGCTTAAAGTTTTTCAAATGATTCAACAACTTCCCAGTGAAAGTGTAATTACTGTGAGATTGTCAGACTATATACTTTAGCAGGTAGTGTTTCAAATCCAAGTAAGAAACCACAAACAAGTCACATGAATAGCTGATTCACTTAATTAGCATGATCATTACTAATACTTAGGATAATCCTTGATTTGATGTCAGGGAAACAAATTCATTTGGGCTTTACAATGGCTGAGCACCTAACCAACTAAAGCTAGATCAACAGTACAGTTATTTAGCTATCCCCTATCCCCTGTGAAAGCCTTATTAAGTCATCTAGCTCAGTACTTCTCAAACTGTCTATGATGAAGAACTTTCTCCAATATGTTGTGAGCGAATATTTTGGTAAAATACAAAAGAGTGCAACTAGACATTAAGTAATGTCAAATTGTAACAGGTCTCTACATGCTTAATATCATATTCTACACTTATCACAGACAAGAAACAGTTCACTGACAGGCACTGGAGCCTGGAACACGTGTAAGAGGAGCACTAACCTATCAGAGATTAAGTCACGACCAACTAACGGAACTCTTCCTCTTCGACTTTTAGGAAAAGTGACAAGGTACAAATCTAAGTGACGAGAGAGGGACCTTGATTAGTATATCCCTTTTCTTGCTGTTCCTTTTAGTTGTATATAGAACATGGAAAAATGTGTGACAAAGAAGAAAAGCACACAAAGAAACCATAAAGATGGTTTTGCTTAGCCAAATTTTCTCTATAGGTGGTGACATCCATTCAAATAAAACTTGTTCAATATAAATGACTGGGCAACAGAAAAACATTCTCATTGCAGAAGGGTATTTATTCAAATGAGTGTTTGCCAGGTGGGAAGAAATATTTCACAATAAAGGGAGCTAAATGTAAAACATCTAAGTATTCTTTTTTCATTTATGTAGAAAACTAAGGGAGAGAGTTTCTGTGGACCTGCACTCTTTCTTTACAGCCCGAGTACCAGCAGAACACTTTTCTAGATAGAACCAGAAGAGAAAAAAAGACAAATGTCACTTGAAAAAGACCAGAGGCATTTGATCTCATCTTTTAAACACAATAACAACTAGTGAGGTTACTCTACTTGTCTCTAGTGTCTTCTTGAATAGAACTCATTTCTAAAGCTGCCTTGGACCAACTCAGACATGTTAAAATTCTTTCCTTCTATCTGCCAACAGCAATCAACAGTCTAAATTACGATTGCGTATGACACAAAAAAATTCATGAAAAATGGTTTTAAAACACTTTGCATCATACTGTTTTAATGAAGTTCTGATTTTGTGATTGGAAATAAACTTATAAGTGAAGGAAATGTAAAACAATGAGCTTGGGGGGAACACTCCACTGAAGAATGAATATCTAATCTGATCATTAAATGTCTTCATAGCATAAATGTCAGCTTTTCTGTCTTTTTTTAAAACACAGCATTCCACTGTTAGTAAGATGACTGGTTATACTATATTCTTCAAAAGCTAGGTTTTGCTGTATTAGCTCAGCTTACCACCGTTTGGTGTTTACCACCATCTTTTTTTTTTTTTTTTTTTTTGGTGGTATTTACCACCACAAAAATGTGGTGTCTAGAGCACTAATTGTCAGAAACTTCCCATATTCAGCTGGGTTATGAGACATCTAGAGGTAGTCAATCTCTGAAACCTAGTTTTCTTAGAAGCTCTTTATAATAAGTCCATTTGTACTCCTTAGATCAGTTTACTGCTGCCAGAGAGGAATTTCAAGGAGAATTAAAGTTGAAAAAAAGTAAACAAATAACATACATATTAGTAAATGTCATGTTGTCTTTTAATGGCCACGTACAGACTAAGTGGGTATTCAATAACTGGGAAATGACTTAGCAAGGAAATGAATTCTCTTTTAGTTCACCGAAATAAATTCTGTTTTAGTTCATTATTAATAAAAGGGTACACAAATGTTGCCCTTAATTAGATTTTATGTATTTCTCAATCCTAGCAGCACTGTTTAGCTTACTGAAGGATACAGCAGACAATAAGCTTGTGTCTAACTGCATTTGTTGATGCTTATAAGATAATTTTATTAAAACACAGTAAAAAGTAAGAAACTGTGGGGGTGGCATTTATTTCACGGTCCTAGCATTGGTTTAAGAAACTAGTAAGTGATGTCATCAGGGAAATGCAAATCAAAACTACCATGAGATACCATCTCACACCAGTGAGAATGGCACATATTAAAAAAACTAGCAACAACAAATGTTGGCGAGGATGTGGAGAAAAAGGAACTCTTGTGCACTGTTGGTGGGAGTGCAAACTGGTCCAACCACTATGGAGAGCTGTGTGGAGATTTCTGGACCTACTAAACATAGAGCTTCCATATGATCCAGCAATTCCACTCCTAGGTATTTACCCAAAGGACACAGAAACATCAATTCCAAAGAGCACCTGCACCCCTATGTTTATAGCAGCACTGTTTACAATAGCTAAGCTTTGGAAACAACCCAAATGCCCAAAAATAGATGACTGGATCAAGAAGATGTGGTACATATATACCATGGAATATTACTCAGCATTCAAAAAAGATAAACACATGCAATTTGCAGCAACATGGATGGCACTGGAAGGGATCATGCTCAGCGAAATAAGCCAAAAAGAAAAAGAAAAATACCGGATGGTCTCACTCATAGCAGGAATCTAGAAAACTTAAATAAGGGACCAGGAAAATGAATATAAGAAAGTGAAAATCAAAATCAACAAAAAACTATGAACCAGAGACACTTGTTGGGGGTGGGGGGCGGGAGGGGAAGGATTGGGGTCAGAATGGGGCGTTTGCAATTGTATGGGGGAATATAAAAATAAAATTTAATATTAAAAAAAAAAAAAAAAAAAAAAAAAAACTAGTAAGTGAAACACTGATTAAGTAAAAGCTTGCAGTTTGAAAAACTCTTGATGATTAAAAAGCATTTATAAATGAGTAAAGAGAAAGATATTTAACCATCCTTTTAAGTAAGAACAAATCACATACTCTTACGCTTTCTATCTTATTTTATCTTTGTGACTACACAATGAAGTAAAGGTTGATAACCTAAAGGTTCAGTGAATCCTGAACCTGCCGAAAACATACTGTTTATGTCTGAGGCAATATTCAAAGCGACAATTTCTGTCTCCGAGCCCACTTTATGTTGACACATACTATTTCACCTATCATGAAACACACGAGAGGTATGAAATTTTAAGACCTTTAGTCTACATTCTGTCCTGAATATCAAACAATTGAAGCTTATACAAGCTGCCAATAAATGAGGAAATGATATTCAAGAAAGGAAATAAGATCTTTTTAAAAATTCAAAAGTTCATTATCTTGGCATTTAATACAAGAAATTTCAAAGTATTTAAGTTTGGAATGAGAATTGGGGATGTCTATTAAGGATACAGATATAAGACTAATAGCATGGCATTCCTCTATACCTAGATGCTCAACAGTAAGATTCTGCATAGATTTTTGAACTGACGATAAGCACCAAAAATTCACAATTTTGCATACCAACTCTTACAAATTGAAATATTATTTCAAACTTTGAAAACATTTTAGATACACCAGATATGAGAAAAGCTTGCAGCATGATTCATAATAGCCAAGACATGGAAACAACCTAAGTGCCCATCAATTGATAAAGGGATTTTAAAAATGTGTTACACACACACACCAGCTATTATTCAGCTATTAAAAGAAGGAAATCCCATCATTTGTGACAACATGGATGGACGTTGAGGGTATAATGCTAAATGAAATAAGTCAAAGACAAATATTGTATGACCTTACTTATATATGGAATCTAAAAACACCAAACTCATTGAAACAGATTGTAGGAAGGTGGTTGCCAGGGCCTTATGGGTAGGGAAGGTGGGGAAACGCTGGTCAAAGGGTGCATACAAAGTTTCAGCTATGAGATGAGTAAGTTCTGATGACCTAGTGTACAGCATGGTGACCACAGTTAACAATGCTGGATTGTACGCTGGAAACTCTATGAGAGTAGAGCTTTAATGTTTCTATCACTCCCATCACAACAACTAAGTGGTGAGTGTGTGAGGTAAAGGATGTGTCAATTAACCTATATTGTAACTATTTCACAATATATATGTTATCAAATCACCACTTTGTATATCTTTAACATACACTGTTATGTCAATTATACATCCATAAAATTGGGGAAAAAATGAAAGAAGCAAAATGATTTTGACAAGTATGCACAGTTGCCCATAGGTCACCTATCACCAAATGTCTTTTTGGAAGATTATGCTATCAAATGGAAAATACTAAATAATTTTTACTCAACACAATAAAATTACTTATATAATGTAAAAATAAGTAATTATCTTTATACTTAGAGAACATCCCCAAATTGGTCTGACATCATAAAATGAGTCCCCCTGAACAGTACTTCAAGAATAATAACCTGAAAATATGCCAAAGGTTCTACTCCTTCTCTCTTTCCCATTCTCCTTTCCTTCAATAAATATTTATTGAACATCTATATGCAGGGCCTTGTAC